TTAGTTAGAATGGGGAAAAAGCACGTGAGAGAAAATCTGGAGATATCTGAACGTGGTTGAATCTGGTAGAAAAGAAGTTGACCATACAGGAAGATACACTCAATAAACACAGTCCTTGACCAAACCAGAGGATGGTATCTGGGATGCAAGTGAAAGACATGTTGATGTACGTAGGGATGAAAGACAGTTGTGTAAGTGGTCTTTTGGGAAGCTGAAGGAGTTACTGTCTGATGGTTTCTGCTCCTCCAAGAGGTCATCTGCTAGATGGTAGAGGAAAGATTGATGGTAGTGAGATTTGGGAATACTTGAGAATCTGTGAAATTGAAGTGGAGAATGGGAGAATTTGGTGATGGGGATGATAATGTTTTGGGGCAAATTTCAGGGGCCGAGTGAAGTTATTAACCATAAATTTATGGTGATTCCAGTCAGCCTGGTTGGGCAAATTCCTCTGGTAATACTTAGCAACTTGTGAGACATTCATTGAGATGTAGGATATTGAATTCATATAGATTTGGGATTTTGTTAGGTAGGTGCAGCTAGAAGATAGTGGAGCAAGAAAGTTCCTGAAGACTAGCAAGAGAGTGGTTGATATTATTAACCACAGAATTGTAGATAAAAAAGGAAGGAAATGAAGCCTAGAAGGTGTGGAAAAGGAGAAAGTAAAGTAGGAAGTGCTCCAGAGGTTTCTATAGGACTGACAACATGTGTGTTGAGAATAACTTAGGGTATAGGTGGAACAGCAGTGGCTTGTGGTCAAAACTGCCTTATGCTTATATTAATAAGTAGCTCCAGAGATGGTGCAGTTCAGCAGTTCTGAGTGATGTCAAGTATGGGAGGGTGGCTGGGTGCAGTGGCTCATGACTGTAATCCCAGCTACTCTGGGGCTGAGGAGGGAGGACCTCTTGAATCCAGGAGTTCCAGGCTACCGATCACACCACTGTACTCCAGTCTGAGTGACAGAGCCAGACCCCATCTCTTAAAAAAATTTGGGAGGGTGCTATAGACTGAATGTTTGTGTTCCCCAAAGTTTATATTTTGAAATCTTAACCCCCAATATGATGGTATTAAGTGGAGGGATTTTTGGTAGTTAATTAGGTCATGAGAAGGGAGCCCTCATGAGTGGGATTAATACCCTTATAAGAGATGCCAAGCTAGGTGCAGTGGCTGACACCTGTCATTCCAGCACTTTGGGAGGCCAAGGAGGGAGAACTGCTTGAAACCAGGAATTCGAGACCAGCTTGGGCAACGTAGTGAGACCCCGTCTCCATACACACACACACACACACACACACGCTATTAGCTAGATGCAGTGGGTTGCACCTGTAGTCCCAGCTACTCAGGAGGCTAAGGTGGGAGGGTCACCTGAGCCTGGGAGGTTGAGTCTTCAGCGACCTATGACAGTGCCACTGCAGTACAGCCTGGGTGGCAGAATGAAACTCTGTCTCTAGGAAAAAAATAAAAAATAAAAAAAATAGAAAGATACCCTGGAGAATCCTTTGCTTCTTCTGACATGTGAGGAACACAGTGAGAAGATTGTGAGCCAAAGCGGGCTCTCACCAAACGTCAAACCTGCTGGTGCTTTGATCCCAGACTCCCAACCTCCAAAACTTGAGAAATATTTTTTTCTTATTCGTAAGCAACGCAGATTATAGTATTTTGTTATGGCAGCCAGAATGGACTGAGACAGAGGAGGTAGCCAAAGTGGAGTGGAAGAGGAAGTTTCTGAAGCCATGAAGTAAGATTGGCTATGAAGATAATAAAGTCACTTAAAATTTAGGGTCAAGAGAAAAACTGCAAGCCAGTTGCCAAAGAAGTCAATGAATACAGCCAATACAGTGAAAAAAATGTTGAAATTTGAGTCTGGAGTTCTGGACTATAAATTCTCCAACCATACTCAGTACTGCCTTGATCTTCCTATGTTTACCACCATGAATTATATGATAATAATTTTTAGAGTTTCTCCTTTAACTGATTATAAGCTCCTTTAAGTTCAAAGGTGGTGCCTTGTTTATCATGTATGAATCAGATTACTTGATGCCATATATGCAATACATTTTATCTTGGTTAAATGAATAGGAGAAAATTAAACAAATAGGTGACATTTTGGAGGATAGACATTCCTATTTCTCTGATTGCAGTTTTAGACTACGACAGACCTCGTTCTCCTCCTCTCCTTAACTCCAGTGTAACCAGTTCGGCACATATGTTTAAAAAACTAGAACATTTAGAGACTTTGATGAAAATGAATAAAATAAAACAAGGCCTTCCTTTTATTTACCTTTGATTCCTTGCTTCTCATTTGCTCTGCCACCTGTCAGCATTGTAACTCAGAGTTTCTTAGTATCAAGTATAAAACTGTCAAACAGGATTTAGGGTGGACTCAGATTTTAAAAGCCTCATCTTGGATTCAGTGTTCATTCCCCCTGAAAGCCAAGAGTTGACTAAGAAAGAACAAAATCAGTAAAGAGAAACATTAAAGTCTGCTTCATCTGAGTTTTTGTTTGTTTGTTTTTTTTTTTTTCTTTTTACAATGCATCGATCTTCAAAGTTTGTCCATATGATGATTAAGCTTTTTAAGGATGAAAATTGTTTTTCGTATGGTCTGATTGGTCATTTCCTTAGCATCTTTGCTCATTTAACAAAAGCGATATTAATGCTTTGTACTTAAGAAAATTGTGAAATGGAGAATGACACAGACATACACACATCAATTATATGAGGTCTTACAGCATTTGTAAATATGAGTTTTCTTCCTTAAATTTGAAGGCTAGAGACAACAAGAAGATGAAGAGGGAGTAAACTGAGTGAGGAAAAGGCAACACATTGTGGCCTAAAGATACAACCAGGGTTTGATTTCTATTGGATGAGTTGTGTTCATACTTGACATAGTCTCATACTCCTTTCTGGGATAAAAGAGTAAGTTGACTTTGACAACCATCACCACATTGGCCTCTGAGGATGACGTTTCTGGACAGGGGAATGTGCCTCTCTTTCTTTGCTATTCATGTGTGTACCTCCTGAAACTACATGTTCTGTTGAAGAGGATAGCCTTTAATTCAATGTTTGGTTCAGTGCATACAAATAGTTCAACACACCAGTCAATATTTCTCATACCTTCCTCTGTCTGCTGGTACCTCGGCCCTCCCTTCTCCCAGGTTTTCAGGATTCCTTTGTAAACCTTTGGCTGCCCGAAGTCCAGTGTTTGGATGCTTCATGAAGTCGTTCTCTTTGCTTTGCATGTAATTATCTCCTTCCCTTCCAAGCCCTCCCTTAAAATTTCCCTTTTCTCATGATCAATGAATTGATATATGTTAAGTACTTGCTCTGGATTATCAATTTGGCTCCAATGCTTACAGAACCTATTCTTTTGAGTCGGAGTTTACCTGCATAAACAATCACAAAAAGGCAATTATGGGTCAAATTACACACCCATAGAAGTAATTTTTGATAGAAAAAAGAAGTCAATGTAGGCTAGTGTAGTTAGAGAAAGGTTAATGGAATCCATATGCACCAGTATCTGGAAATAAAGGGTTAATGTTTTATTTCCCTACTGAGTAAGTTATTGGAATAGTTAGAACTTAGTGAAATTAATATTTATGCACTGCAGGGAGGTATTAAGTTGGTGCAAAAGTAATTGTGGTTTTTGCCATTAACAGTAATGACAAAACTGGCAATTACTTTTCCTCCAAACCTGATATTTTTGGTAATAGCTACATATGTCCTTCAAATCACTTAGCTTCCTAAATGGTGCAGTTTCCTTCTATAAGCTGAATCCTTGCAACCCCCAATCTCTTCCAGTTTATGGGGGCACTATGCAGAAGCTGAGAGCTAACATGCACACTGCGGGGTCTGTGAGGGTCGACTGAAGACGAAGATGATTCTGACGATACCATCCCGACCTGAGTCTTTGGATGCCTTGTGCCTGTAATTTGGGAAGGGGCTATGGGCTAACGCTTTTCAAATGCTTGGAGCTTCTCTGATTTTAAGTTTTTCAGTGACATGAAGAAACAGACTTCTTTCTGCAAACCATTTTCCAAGAATTAGACCAGATACTTCTGTTCCCTCTGGCAGACCAGTTATCCTGCCTCTCTCTCTCTCTCTCTCTCTCTCTGTTTTTTAACCTAAATTTGATTTTTGAAGGATTTAATCTCATTCCCTATCACAACATTATTTTTCATAACAGCAGGAAGAAATTTGATAAACCATTCTAGTTTCTTACATTTGTGAATTTAATTCCCACTTCGTCCAAATGGGCTCCTGTCGAGAGAGGAAACCAGATGTACCCAGTTGTTGGAGTCTTAAATGTCTCTCCAGCTTGTTGAAGCAATTGCATTAAAAAATCTTAATCAATATAGTTGCTGACTTTCTTGCTCCCTCTGTGTTCCTGCTGCAGTTATACTATTTACACTTGAGTTTGTGCCACAGCTGGTTCGAACTCAATGATTGTCTGCTCCACTCTGCCTGTTTTAAGTTATTATCCCCCTCAAGGTTTCTCTTCCATGCATGGAGCTTGTTGTGATTCCTTTCTTTGATTGAAAAGAGATGGAGTGGTGTAGCAAGAAGAGTGTTGGTGTTGCCCCAGAGATGCCCAGGGTTTGCAGCCTAGTTCTGGCATTTACTTGATGCGTGATCTTGAGTATTTTCACTTTTTTGACACTCATACTTACCTTGAAGAGTTGTTAGGATTAAATAAAATAACCCATGCAACAGCATCTGCCACAACAACTTGCGTAGAGGAGCATTTACTCTGACTATTTCTTATACTTATCTTCATGAATTTGGCTATAATCAAGAAACAGAAATTTTGTATTCAGAGGAGGGCTATTCTGAACCTAGTGTTGTATTCCATTTGCACCATATACAGGCTGTTATTTATTTTTCATTCTGATTTTTTAGTGTGCCTATAGTTTAATATTAGTAGTTTATATCGGTATAGTACTTGAGGCTTATAATGTGCTCTTGTGTTTTTACGTATCTTCATGTGCTTTTGTATTATGCAGCATACACAACCTGAAATTCATCTTGTTGGTTCATCATTCTCTGTGGGGTATTACATACATGGTCTGCTTATGCTGAGCGCCGTAATTGTAACCGCAGAGTTGGTTAAGAAAGTCAATTATAACAGAAGTGGAGCTCTTCAAACTGGAACTCCATGAAGACAACTGAACACATCTATTGAGCTCCAAGGAAACGTGGTAGTGGCTTAGTCTGAATTGTGCCACTTCTCCTCTTGGAAATTATGCAGAACAGTAAATCAAATTTTACAAATCTACAAATTCCATTTTCAGTGAAATTAGGAGACCCAGAATATTCTTGAACTACAAATTATGTGTACATGCTGCCCCAAACACCTGAGGCCAATGGAAGCTGGCAAGAAGCTGCATGGTAAATGGTGATGGACAATGGAAAGGAGGTGAGGACGCAGCAGCTGTGGCGGGAGTCTCAGAAAACACAGCAGTGTTCACTTCCAGAGCAGAGGGCCCCATCTGGGGTGGTAACTCCCATGAGCAGACATGAAATCAGAGTGACCAACTCTTCCTAGTTGCCTGGAACTTTACTGGTTTTAGCACTGAAAGTCCTCTGTCCTAGGAACCTCCCCAAACCTGGGCAAACTGGGATGCTGCTCACCCTAGAGGAACTGGAACAGAGTGTGCCACCAAAGGGAGGTGGCAAAGGCCTGGGACCACATGGGTGGCAGAGTACAAAAAGTGCAAGTGAAAATAGATCAACAAAAAGTCAGGATACTCCCGTGGAAGGTAAGAGATATGTCCCAGGTGGCAGTGGCTTATAAAGATACTGTGACATCACATGGGAAGAAGCCATTCTGAATCTTTTTAAATTTCTTCTTTCTTTTAAAAAATTTCTAATTTTTAATTCTTATGGGTATATAGTAGGTATATATATTTATGGGGTACATGAAATATTTTGATACAGGCATGCAATGCATAATAATCACATCACGGAGAATGGGGTATTCATCTACTGAAGCAATTACACTTTGTGTTATAAACAATCCAATTATACTCTTTTAGTTATTTTAAAATGTAGTTACTATTGACTACAGTTACCCTGTTGTGCTGTAAAATAGTAGGTCTTATTCATTCTTCTTATTTTTTTGTACCCATTAACCGTATCTGCTTCCCTCTCAATCACCCACTACCCTTACCAGCCTCTGGTAACCGTCCTTCTACTTTCTATGTCCATGAGGTCAACTGTTTTGACTGTTAGAGCCCACAAATAAGTGAGAACACGTGATGTTTGTCTTCCTGTGCCTGGCTTATTTTACTTAACATAATGATCTCCAGTTCCATCCATGTCGTGGCAAATTATAGGATCTCATTCTTTTTTATGGCTAAATAGTACTCCATTGTGTATATGTACCATATTTTCTTTATCCATTCATCTGTTGATGAACACAGGTTGCTTCCAAATCTTGACTATTGTGGACAGTACTGCAACAAACATGGGAGTGCAGATACCTCTTTGATATACTGATTTCCTTTCTTTTGGGTATATATTCAGCAGTGGGATTGCTGGATTATATGGTAGCTCAATTTTTAGTTTTCTGAAGAACCTCTAAAGTGTTCTCCATAGTGGTCTGACTAATTTACATTCCCATCAACAGTGTACAAGTGTTCACTTTTCTCCACATTCCACCAGCATTTGTTATTGCCTATCTTTTGGATATAAGCCATTTTAACTGGGGTGAGATGACATCTCATTGTAGTATTGTTTTGCGTTTCTCTGATGCAATGATGTTGAGTACTTTTTCATATGCCTGTTTGCCATTTGTATGTCTTCTTTTGAGGAATGTGTATTCAAATCTTTTGCCCATTTTTGGATGGGATTATTAGATTTTTTTCCTATAGAGTTGTTTGAGCTCTAAACTGTAGAGCAGTTTGCAAATATTCTCTCCCATCCTGTGGGTTGGCTTTTCACTTTGTTGATAGTTTCCTTTGCTGTGCAGAAGCTTTTTAACTTGATGTAATCCCATTTGTCCATTTTTGCTTTGGTTGCCTGTGCAACCAAACTAATGTCCTGGAGATTTTCCTCAATTTTTTTTGTTTGTGGTGGTTTCATAGTCTGAGGCCTTAGATTTAAGTCCTTCATCCATTTTGATTTGATTTTTGTTCATGGTGAGAGATGGGGTCTAGTGTTTATTCTTCTGCATATGGATATTCAGCTGTCTCAGCAACATTTCATGAAGAGACTGTTGTCTCCCCAGTATATATGTTCTTGGCACCTTTGTCCAAAATGAGTTTACTTTAGGCATGTGGATTTGTTTCTGGGTTCTCTATTCTGTTCCATTGGTCTATGTGTTTTTATGCCAGTGTATGCTGTTTTGGTGACTATAGCTCTGTAGTATAATTTGAAGTCAGCTAATGTGATTCCTCCAGCTTTGTTCTTTTGAACATTAAAGGCAAAGAGAATGTAGTTGCAGAGAGGCATCATTTTTAAAGTAAACAGTCTGTTGTAACAGAGGAGGATGCCCATTATCTGTGAAGCTTAGAACACTGGATGTCCTCAGTCCTTCCCTTCTGTGCCCTAGTATTCTTTGTCTAGCTGGTTCAGGAAAATCGAACTCATTCAAATATGAGTAAACAAAAAAAGAGCTGGCATACAGAGATCTATTAAGTTGCAGAAAATAATAGAAAAAGTTCCTACAGAAGAACAAAATGCACCAGAAAACTATTGCCGAGATGCAGATAAAGCTTGTAACTTAACGTCCCATGAATTAAAAATAAAAAACTTAATGGAGTAATAAGTTATTATTACTTTTAAATTAAATTAAATTAAAATTAATTTTAACTTCTGGGATACATGTGCAGGATATGCAGGTTTGTTACATAGGTAAATGTGTGCCATAATGGTTTTCTGCATCTATCAACCCATCACCTAGATATTAAGGCCCACTTGCATTAACTATTTATCCTGATGTTCTCTCCCTTACCCGCCCCACCAGCAGGCCCCAGCGTGTGTTGTTCCTCTCCATGTGTCCATGTGTTCTCATCGTTCAGCTCCCACTTATAAGTGAGAACATGCAGTGTTTGGTTTTCTGTCCCTGTGTTAGTTTGCTGAGGATAATGGCTTTCAGCTCCATCCATGTCCCTGCAAAGAACATGATCTCATTCCTTTTTATGGCTGTATAGTATCCCATGGTATATATGTACCACATTTTCTTTATTCAGTCTATCATTGATGAGCATTTGGGTTGATTACATGTCTTTGCTATTGTGACTAGTGTGGCAGTGAACATATGTGTGCATGTATCTTTATAATAAAATGATTTATATTCCTTTGGACATATACCTAGTAATGGGATTGCTGGGTCAAATAGTATTTCTGGTTCTAGGTCTTTGAGGAATTGCCACACAATAGCAGTTATTTTAATGAAAGTATACAAAGCAGAAATATGAGGACTCAGGACTGGACAACAGAAAATAAGCAACAAATTAAAGGAGAAGGTGAAATGGGATTTGGTAGAAATCATGAAAGAAATAAAAGAACAAATCAAAATTATTTCAGAAGTAAAGACTAATAAATTAGATTCAGCACAAGGAAGAGTAGACACCATAGAAAGTACAGTGAGGGACAAAGGAGATAGACATGACAACAGCAAATGAAATGAACAAGAAATACAGAGATAAGATTAGAGACAAAATTATAGGAATAAAGCACAAGCAAAGGAGATCAAATACATTCACATAAAGTCTACCAAGAGAAAACCAAAACAAAAAAACAGAACAAATATTTAAAAATACAATACAATTCAAGAAAACTTTTCAAATATAAAATAAGGCAAGTATCTACATATTTAAAGGGCTTACAGTGGACCAGAAAAAAATGCTCTAGAGAAGTCAAGACAAATCGTAAAATGATTAGAATAAAGAATGAATATTTTGAATGAGGCTGTAAAAATATCAAGTCACTCACGATGGGATGAAGTTGGACAGGAGTCAGACTTCTTTAAAGATATGAATCTACCCTTAGAAGATTTTTTTTTTTTTTTAAAGAATGAGCCAAAGATTTTATATGTGGTTAAAATATCTTTTACATCTGAAAGATTCTAGAAAAACAGATTGCAATGTGCAAGAACACAGGAGACATTATTCATGTCAACCCATTTTGAGGAAATGATTAGAGGATGAACTCCCGCCAACCAAGCAATGGCTGGGGAAATGTCGGTGAAACTGGCAGTAAGCATTAAGGCAGTAGATTTAAGTCCCAAAGCAAAGAAAGGGAAAACCCAAGGGGCAAAGTCTGAAAGCAGTGAAGGGAGTAAGCCCCAGAATATATCTGAAAGGGCTGAACTTTGATTGGCGATGACATGCCTCCTTCTTTGGACAAAGGAAGTAGGAAAAGCTGATTAGATGAAGGAAGACAGTTTCTATTTTCTCTGTGATGTTAAGGTTAAGTCTGTTCACCAAAATAAGGGGCTAGGACTGGGGTAAGGGTCAACAATGTAAAGAAAAGAATGTATGGAAGAGAGTGAGAGATCAAGCTTCCAGAGAATTATAGTAGAAATATGTATAAGTAGACTTTGTTGCTTAAAGAAAATCTGCAATGAATCTCTTAGTTACAGCATACTATTTATTATGAGGTATTTGAATTTATTTATTCCGTAAATTGGATGTTGAATAGTGTGCAGAAGTTTAAAGTAGAATTGTGTATTATTTTGCATCCGTAGATATATTTCTTTCCATTTTTAAGTGCAAATCCATTCACTTAGTTTCATTTTTCTACTGTATTATGATGCACTGAGGATAAAGGATATCTTTTTATGGCACCCAACTCAGTACTGTGGCCACTTCATGTGTTCATTCAGTAAATATTTGTTATATTAATAAATGAAACACACCTATAATATTTCATTCTGCTTAATATTTATTTTCTAACACTCGTCCTTAAAGATCCACATGAAATGAGTCTTACTTTTGATGATAATTAATTTTCAGGCTCTGAGAAATTAATATATAAACTTGAAAGTCCTGGTGAAGGTTAGAATAAAAATTGCAGTGAAATTATAAATGCTAAGTTGCGTAGACTTCTCACTTGATTTGCTTGATAGATTAAGGTATATATGTGTCTCAATACCCCTCATCCAGAAAGTCTGGGGTGTTTTTTTTTTTGACAGAGTCTCACACTGTTGCCTAGGCTGGAGCACAGAGGTGCAATCTCAGCTTACTGCAGCCTCTGCCTCCCGGGTTCAAGTGATTCTCATGCCTCAGCCTCCCGAGTATCCGGGACTACAGGCGCACACCACAATGCTCGGCTAATTTTTGTATTTTTAGTAAAGAGGGGGTTTCGCCATGTTGGCCAGGCTGGACTCGAACTCCTGACCTTGAGTGATCCACCCACCTCAGCCTCTCAAAGTGCTGGGATTACAGGCATGAGCCACCACGCTTGGCCTGAATTTTTAAATAAAACGAAAAGTCAAGTATGGACTTTATATACAAAAAGTATGTGAAGCACTGTGTTCATGTAAGAACTGTTTCAGATGAGCCAGCCCGGGAGGGATTCAGTAGCAGCTACGAATTAAAAAAGGCCATTTGCCTGGTAATTTCAGGATTGTTAAACAATCAAGCACCACACAATCGTAGGACTATATTCTCCAAGGGTGAGAATAAGAATTATTTTCTCGGGGACCTTTAGATGAACTGTGATTGAATTGTTTGCTTACTGGTGTGGCCAAAGCATTTCCAAGTCTTCCTTTCCAGTTTCCCACGGACCTGAAGAAGATTTTCCAAAGATATTC